AAAAGTTTTAAAAAAAAAAAAAAAAAAAAGGACTCTGCGCCTGTGCATTATCACAGAAGGAGAATGACAATGCACTTTCACAAAATTCACAGTAACAATGAAGCACACTTGAACAAGTGCATTGTCTTTGATTCATAATATAAAAAGAATAAGAAAAAAAGAAAGAAAAGACAGGATCTAAAGGCACACAATGCTTGATGTTTTAAGAATTCTAATGAACATCAATCTTCTGCTCAAATGTATCGGAAATGATTTCAAGAATCTTAGAAAGGTCAGTTCTATGCTGAATCTACACCTCAGTTTCAATTATGCACAAGAGATCACCAACAAAATCTTAGTTCCTATATATCAGAGAACTGCTTGAAGTTTCACTCTATGGAATCAGGATTCAATTTTAGACAAGTCAACCAGCTGCTAGATAAGTTTAGTTCTTAAACTGACCGGTTTTCTTCATTCCCCGCAGGTGTTGGCGATCAGGCCTCTCTTGAACTGCAGCATGTACTCATCGAAGAGAGCAAGAGAACTAACGTGAATTAGCTTAGAACTTGTTCAAAGCACTGAACAAGTTGGAATTTAGCTCTCACAAAGTCAAATTATCCTGGTAAATCGGAGATACCATAACTCCCTCCAATCTGTAACAAACCAGTAACCAGTCAGGAATCAGGATAAAAGAGAACCTGAAGATAAAATAATAGACCAAAAAGAACCACAACAATATTTCTAGTCTAGAATTATTTCCAGAAAGACTTGTCAAAAAAGAAAATGTAAACAAACAAAGTTGAGGATAAGGCTCAGATTTTCGCCTATTTAATCAAAGGAAATAGCAGAGTTAACATAGCTGTGGCTGCAACCATCAGTTGCCTTATAAGAAAGACCTTCCGACTGGTCGCCAAGCCAGGCCGTGAATTAAACATTTTTCACTTTTCATTTTCATTATACATAATCTTCACAGCCTCTGAAACTTGGGATTTTTAAGATTGAAATAAGGCATGAAAGCTTGGAAAATTGTGCAGACATAAATTCAGCAACTAGCTTCATATCAAACTGTTAATATATAAATCCTCAATATTCACTTCCATTCCCTTTTGAACTTTGCTTCTATCAGTACATAATAATTACACTCTAGGAAAATGTGTATATAAACACATGCAGTTTTCCTTTGAAACTGGATATTATACAAAAGCAGAAGAATAACATGAACATAAAAGAACACGACAACGACGCCTCAGTCTCAAGCAAGCTAGGATCAACAATATGAATTCCCACTGATCATGTTGCTCCATTTAGATCATGTCACTATGTTTAGACTCATCATAAACCAATATTATACTACAAGAACATAAAAATAATTAAAGAACAAAAGAAAGACTCATGGTAGCACTAAACCTAACAAAGAAAAGAGGCTCAGATTTGATCTATCAGAAAAAAGGCTAATCCACTTTGGCTCCACTTAACCTTTGAAAGGTCAGTTCTGCTATGCACAAGAGAAACCAACAAAATCTTAGTTCCTATATTCACAGTACTGCTTGACGTTTCTCTCTGTGGAGTCAGAATTCAACTCTGGACAGGTCAAGCCAGCTATGGATAAGTTTAGTTCTTAAACTGACTGGTTTTCTTCGTTCCCCGAGGGTGTTGGCGCGATCAGGCCTCTCTTCAAATGCTGCGTGTACTCATCTAAGAGAGCAAGAGAATTAATGAGAATTGGCTTAAAACTTGTTCAAAGCACGGAACAAGTTAGAATTTGGCTATGTATGAAGACAGATGATCCTGGGATGTTGGAGATACCATAACTCTCTCCAATCTGTAACAAACCAGTAATCAGTCAGAACAGAGGAGAACCTGAATTGAAAATAATAGAACAAAAAGAACCACGAAAATACTTCTAGTCTAGAATAATTCCAGAAAGATTTGTCAAAAAAAGAAAATGTGAATAAACCAAGTTGAGGATAAGCCCCAGATTTCTGCCTATTTAACCAAAGGAAATAACAGAGTTAACACTGCCATGGCTGCAATCATCGGTTGACTTATAGGAAAGACCTTCCGACTGGTCTTGCCAAGCCAGGCAAGGAATCAACTCTTATCTTTTCCACTTTTCCTTTTCATTATATGAATGATCTTCACTGACTCTGAAAACTTGGAATTTCAAAGATAGAAATAAGGCCTGAAAGTTTGGAAAATTGTGAAGATAAATTCAGCAATTAGCTTCAATATCAAACTGGTTAAAAACAATATATGAATCCTCAATATTCACTTCCATTCCCTTTGGACTTGTTTCATATCACTACCTAATAATTTAACTTATGGAAAATATGTAGATAAACACATATAACAGTTTTCTTTTGAACTGTGATTCTTCCTGATATTATGCAAAAGCAGGAAAAAGATCATCTCAGACCAATATTATACAACATTAACATAAAAATAATTAAAGAACAAGAGAAACAGACCCAAAGTAGCACTAAACTTAACAAAGAAAAGAGGCTCAGATTTGATCTATCAGAAAAAGGCTAATCCACCATGGCTGCAAAGAGCAGAGACCTTTGTGTGAGAGCACATAAGAACCCACCTCACAAATTCCCTTGCCTTTACCTAGCCAAGATACGAATCAGCTCAAAAGTCTGACCTGCAAGCTTCCTGGAGAATATCATCATAGCCTCATTCACAAAGTTTAGGGTTTAGGATTCGGGTTTTTGATACTAGTTTAGGGGGGCAAAATATATATTTTCCCATCCTATAGAACATATCTGGCATTTTTCTGATGAAAAGGCTGTTAGTCTTTTGCTTGGTAAGAGAAGTACAGGAAAATTCATTGGCAACATTGAACTTCAGAGAAAGGGAGTAACCACCCTTAGAAAATCTCAACCATTCTCCGAGTTCCTTAAGAAACCTCATTTTTTAAAACACAAACAGCTATGTGAGGCTCAAATTTGCCTTTTCTCATACATAAGCTAAACCCCGCCACGGCTGCAGACTTAACAAGCATTCACGAGATACAGAAACCTAGATAGCTCCGATATCTCACAAGGTCGCTGTAAGTTGCCAAGCTAAGATATAGCAAAACTCTACCAAATGATGAGTAAAGAATACAAATCTTCACTGCCTCAGTGAACTTAATATGCTAAAGAATAGTTTGAAATTGGGAAACATTGGGTGATCATTGGCTGCTAAGAATGAAATGGAGGGGCAACCACACGAACAACTCGCCACAACTATCAAAATCCAGCAACCACAAACTTAAACTAATGGGTTTTTTGCCGTTTTCATTTCACCGTCTGCTTCATACTATAGTGCCCTAATTTTTTTGATCTCCCAAAATTATAGGCCTCGTGTGAACGGTCTTATTTGTAGAAATGACACCATGTAGCCACTTTTAGGGCTGCTTCAGTGAAACAATTTCATCCATATCAAATACACCCAAAGTAAGATACAAGAGACAATTGACTCAAAATGGAGCAAAGAGAAGGCGACTACGCCATGGCTGCAAAAGAACCGGTTGCATGTGACAGAGAAGGCCTCAATCACAAACTATTTGGGTTTGCCCTGCCAAGATACGGGTCGGATGTTCTCCATGCCCTGAATATCAACCCATTTCAACAATATCATCACAGCCTCCTCGGTACCTTGTATATTAAACAAATTATTCCAAGATTTCTCGACACCATAGCCTTTCATTACTCATAACTTGGAAGTGTCCTTCCCCTGATGATCATAAGTAGAATAACCACAAAGCATTCCTCCCACTGCTGAAACGCCATTTTTTATGTACGCCACGTTTAAAATCAAGCACAATCCCTCTGGCAACAGTATCTCTCCATACACCTCATTTGAAATACTAAATGAAACCACAAAATTATTTAGTGACAAAGGAAGACAATGAAATGCTCCATGTACTAATGCCAAAGAGTCCATATGAGGTGTTTATCAGGATTACAAACCCCAATAAGAAACAAGCCATCGCAATAACAGTAGATTCTGCAACTCCATGGTTTAGCCTTTGAAGGCCAATTAAGCTTTTGTACATCCTCAACCAGTTGAACTGACGATAAAGAAGAACAATACAAGGAAAACTCATCCTCAGAAAGGTACCACAGGCTAACCAGAAATGTTTGTGAATTTTGGTAGTAAATGTGAAAGAAAAAAAGCATCACATCCTAAAACTAAACTGAACACAGAAAAGTGGCTCAGATTTGCCTTAAAATCTATCAGAAGAATGGGCTAATCCGCCATGGCTGCAAGAAGCAGACACCTTGTGAGAGCACATAGCAATCCACCTCACAAATTAACCTGCCTTTTCGTAGCCAAGATACAAATCAGCTAAATGATCTTTCAAGCTTCCTGGAGAATATCATCATAGCCTCATTCGCAAAGTTTATGGTTTAGGATTATACTGAGTTGTTGTTGTTGTTGATCCAAGTACAAAAGGATTTCTAGGGACAAGTTTAAGTGACAAAATAACTGGCAAATCGAGCGAACTTTAAGGGACTATCCATGAATTTGGCCTTTTCCTTATTACTACCATAACTATGGCTATCAGCATCATCATCACCACCATAATTGGCCTTTTGCTGATGAAAGGGCTGTTAATCTTTCTCTTTGTAACAAACATAGGAAAATTCATTGGCTAAATTGAACTTCGGAGAAGGAGAGCAACCACCCTAAGAAAATCTCAACCTTTCTCAAGTCCCATAAAAAGCCTCATTCGTTGAACACAAACAGATGCTTTCTCAGATATAAGTTAAACCCCACCATGGCTGCAGCACGGTCCGAAACTTTTTTGATGCTTTTTTTGACAAAAAACGCATTTCTAATGCTAAAAAAAAAAGTTACATAACTAGGTAAAACACAATACTATACTGCGTATTATTTAATTTTTTTTTTTAACTAATTCGCAGTACTATAAACGCAGTACAGTACTGCATTTCACTTATTAATTGNTGTTTTTTGTTCATATTTGTATTTTATGTTAGTTGTTTTTATATGTAATAGTGACCTTTTAGCGTAGTAAAATAAATAGCCTTTTAGTGTAGTAAAATAAATAGTCTTTTAGCGTAGTAAAATAAATAGCCTTTTAGCGTAGTAAAATATAGAACCTTCTAGCGTAGTAAAATATAAAGCTTTTTAGCGTAGTAAAATGTAGAGTCTTTTAGCGTAGTAAAATATAAAGCATTTTAGCGTAGTAAAATGTAGAGCCTTTTAGCGTAGTAAAATGTAGAGCCTTTTAGCGTAGTAAAATGTAAAACCTTTTAGCATAGAGTCTATGTAGTTTAAGTATGTAGTAACTACAAACTCTATCAATTACACTTTACAAAATTAATTATTTAATTTATAACAATAAACTTACAAAAGTAACAAATTAATATATGTTGTAAAATTAACTCCAATAATCGAGCCTAGAACCCATACATAATTATTCAGTCCAATTCAATAATTTTTAATTTAATTCCTTAAACTAACAAAATTCTAAAAATGTTGAAATTGACACGTATAATAATTAAGGATAACTCGGTGCTACCGGGCCTCAAAAATCAAGCCTGGAACCCATATACAGACCTGTGTCGCCCTGCAAAAATACAGGCCTGAAACTACAATGCCAGGTTACAACGACAACAACAATATACCCAATGTGATCTCACAAGTGGGGCATAGGGAGGGAGGGGTGTACACAGACCTTACCCCTAACTTTATGGGGTAGAGAGGTTATTTCCGGTAGACCTTTGGCTCAAGAAAAGCATTTTTCGAAACAAATTCAAACCAGGTTCCATATGCTTAATAACAATCAATCATCACAGCCCCATCATTTTCCTTTTCCCTTTCATTGTTGCACGCTTTCGCTGTTGCTTTGCCATAGATACGTAGCCTCTGAGGAACAGAGTATAACAGTAACAGAAAACAGAGAGAAATGACCAAGATGGGTCCTTAATGTATAGGAGTTGGTTAAACAAACCCACACATAAACAAAAAAAGCTGTTTACTAAAAGGAAATAGAAATCATAGACATGATGGAGGTGTTCGACTACCCTCGAAAATACTTTTTTCTCCAATTGCCTCATTTGCTAAAAGTCTGATGGAGAATTGCAACAAACAAGAAAAAATGAATAACACAAATGGGTTATAGACGTCCTGGTTCGAGTCCTGAAAAGCAGACAAGTCCAGATGTACTGGTTGGAAACTGAGGCTCAGATCTACAAAAAAATGGGGCAAAGAGAATACGACGATGCCATGGCTGCAAAAGAGCCAGTTGCATGTGAAAGAGAAGCCTCAATCACAAACCATCCGAGCTTGCCCTGCCAAGATAGGGATAGAATTGTCTCCACGCCCCGAATATTATCCCAGGTAAAGCAATATCATCACTACCTCTAGAGAAATGGTAACTTTTCCATATACAGCCTGTTTGGACAACTCAGACAATTTTTGACAAACTAACGCTGAGATCAAATGGATAGTTTAAGCTCAGAGAAATCAGAAAGCTGAAGAGTGTTGTTGGTTTGGTTGATGGAGAAATCATAGGCCAAGCAGCGGGGGCAACCACCTTCACAAGAATTCCTTTTTTCTCTCCGTTGGCCTCATTCTTCTACTGGACTGAACCTCCATTTTTCCGGTTCCAGAGAACGACCATCCATTCAAGACCATCAAATGGCTGCCGTAACACTTTTAGGGCTCAGATTTTGCTGTTCTATGAACTATGCAAAGAGAAAAGCATCACAGGCCATGGCTGCAGACACCGGTTTGCAAATGATGCCATACCGGGTTACCCCGCCAAAATACAGTTGGATTCTCAGTTATAAAGCCCAGATTAGCAATATCATCACTGCCTCTTCCGGAAAATGTAAGCTTTTTCCATAAGAGCCCGTTTGGACAATTTCAGCAACACGTGTCTAATAGACACAGTTTGACTCGAGTTCAGGTGGTCAATAGAACCACCATTGGTTCAGATGTCTAAATGAAAAAATTTGACAAGTTTGAGGGGCCATCGATGTATTCAGCCATTTCAGAAAGACTTGAGGCTCAGATAAGTAATTGATCTCAGGCAATGAGTTCTTTGACACTGCCATGGCTGCAAGCCCTAAAAACAGGTTGCCCCGCCAAGATACAGGCCTGAAACTACAATGCCAGGTTCCATATGCTTAATAACAACCAATCATCACAGCCCCATCATTTTCCTTTTAAATTTCATTGTTGTATGTTACTGCTATTGCTTTGCCATAGAATGCAGCCTGTGAGGAACATAGCATAACAGTAACTGAAAACCGAGAGAAAATGAACAAAATGGTCCTAAATGTATGGGGTTTGGTTAAACAAACACATATAAACAACATCTGTTTTTTGTAAAATGCAAAGAGAAAGGGACACACGCCATGGCTGCAGACACCGGTTTGCAGATGATTGCCATACACAGATTGCCCTGCCAAGATACAGGGTTGGATTTTCTCAATGCATATATAAAGTAGATATAGCCCAGCAAGAAGAAGAATTAACCTTCTTTGCCTCAAGACGCAGCCACGCAGGAGCACAGTATTAACAAAGATAGAGACATAGATGCATGCATACTCAGAAAGGGATGTTCGTCTGGAGCAACATAGAAATCCTTGCCATGCCGGAGATGGTCAACCACACTGAAATCCCCATTTTTCTCCGATTCCTCAGTTTTGAGCAAAAGAATTGATGGAGAACTGCATCTGACAATTGGTGTTCAAGAAAAAACTGAAGAACCCAATTGGATTTCCAGTTCCAGAGATCGACCATCATTCAAGACCATCAAATGGTTGTCGTAAAACTTTTAGGGCTCAGATTTTGCTTTTTTATGAACATGCAAAGATATAGTGACCACGCCATGGCTGCAAAACCGGTTTGCAGAAGATGCCATACCGGGTTGCCCCGCCAAGATACGGGACAGATTTCCTCAAAGCTGGTGAAAGATAGACCAGAAAGAAAGAATCAAATCATCATAGCCCATTATTAGCAGCATTTAAAGTGGCTACCTTGTGTCATTTCTACCTTGTTCTAAATACAAGGGGTCATAAAATCGGCTATTTGTGCAAATCAACTGCTGCTACAGCAGATTAGTCAGCAAGTCAACTGCAGAGACAAAATCTAGCAAAAAATACCGAAAAATGAGATCGTTTAAGCAAGACAGCAAGTCACTATAGACATTTCACGGAAACGATTTGAAATACAAAGGGTCAAGTGCAAGCAGAAATACCAAATAATCCATACATTTTAGGCTCAGATCTTGTTCAAGTCTCATTCAGTCTTTCAACACCGTGATGGCTGCAAACCTTCAGCATGTTACCATAAACGCTAGCCAGGTCGCCCTGCCAAGCTACGGCGCAAATTCTCTGAATGCTTCATTGCATTTTCTAAGAAGAATTTCATCATAGCCCCATCGTTTATTTATTTATTTATCATTTTCTCCGCACAACTTCTAATCTGACTTGGGTTCGCATGGTGTAGCTCAGTTGGTAAAAGCGTGTGGCTATTATCCACAAGGTCGAACGTTCAATACCTTCCTATGGCATTTCCAATCATTTATGTTCAGGGATTGAGCATAGTCGGTAGATTGATTTTGCGTTTACATGGAAATTTTTCTACCCATGTATCTAATTGTCAACCACAGTCAATGAGAAAGTGAAGTGCTTTTGGTTTTGAAATCATGGGCTTACCAGAGAAGAAAAGTACCCATCTTCTCTGGCTCATTCTTTTGGTCTGAAGCTTGAGCTAAAATTTGGACCAAACATTAATATATTTCAAAGAACAAGAGGACCCAAGTTCGATTCTCAGAAATCTGAGGCTCAGATCTGCATTTTGATCAGGCAAAGAGAAGGCAACCACGCCATGGCTGCAAAAACCGTCCATTTGCCAAGCCAAGATACGGGTTGGATCAATGCCCGATTTTGTCAGCCCAGCAATTAACATCATCATTGCCTCTATTACTCAAAATGAGGAAAAAGAAACGTGCTAAAAACACACATACAGACACAGGTTTATGGCTGAAGCTGCGGATTGACAACATATGGAGATTAATGCATGTTCTTACATGATCAGAGTGACCTTTCTGAGTATTTCATGAACAAGGGCTGTTGGTTTAGCACCTAAAGAAAATCATTGGCACAAACAGAGAGGGGCAACCACTCTTAGGAGAAAATCCCTTCTCTTTGTTAGCCTCAATTCACTCTCTAGGCTGACTTGTCATGGTGCAATATAGCGCGTCTGACTCCAGATCAGAAGGTTGCGTGTTCGATTCACGTTAGGTTAAAATTCCCGATCCATTAGGGTCCCAAACACTTTATATTAGACTGACATGAGCTTAGATGACGTGGCATGGACATTGAGGATTAATGTAGCCAACCCCGATTTGTTTGGGCTTGAGGCTCAGTTGTTGTTGTATGCCAATGACACCCAAAGAGAAAATTTGAGACTCAGATCTGTTGAAGAAAATAAGACAATAGAACGAAGACGTTGTCATGGCTGCAAACATCGGTTGCATGACACAAAAAATCACTTGCCATTGGGGTTGCCATCCAAGATATATGCCCATTGTTTTCTTTATTGATTCATTTGCTCAGAGAAAGAAGGAAGTCACTGCCGTGGCTGCAATTCCAGTAACATCTAGATTGCCCGGCCAAGATACAGTTTCATTAGATCCCAAACCTGACTTAAGATATTTTTCGTCAGAACCGCTATGTTGACAGGTGGTCGTGGAGTTAGTAACTACAAAGCAGCAGAAGACGGCAACAATGATATACACCCCAATTTGACCTCCATTTTAGTTCTTACCATTGAGAGATCCTGCTAATTTCTCAAGCATACCTTTCTCGGCCTTTCATGCTTAAGGAAAATGTAAAGAAACCACAAATTTCTATTCAAAAAGACCAGTTAGAGAAACCTTTATTTCCTGCTAGCAACAGAGAGATTAAGCAAGAAGCCAATGTGAACTTAAAGCAAACTTAAGGCACTGAATACAAGTCCAATGTCTTGTTCATCATGTCTTTCATTTTCCTTTAGATTCGGGTTTGCAAAAAAGCAGCAACTTTCTAACTATATATCTATCTATCTATATAGTTGTGTGCTTTTGGATAGAAATCTCTGAGAAGAAAAAGTACACATCTTTATGTGATACCTTACTTGTTTGATACTTAGCAAGAGTTAAAATTTGGAGCAAACATTACACATTTCAAAGCACAAGAGGTGTTCGATTCACAGAAATCTGAGGCTCAGATACCAAATTTTGCCCGAACAAAGAGAATGCAATAGCGCCATGGCTGCAAAATCACCTGTTGCATGCAAAAGAGAGTAATCAGCCTCAAATGCAGGCCATCCAGGGACTTGACAGGCCAAGATACGGGTCCTATTGTCCTCAATGCCATTTTTTGTTAGCCCTGAAAGTGAAAGATTATCATCACTGCCTCTTCTGTACAATACTAAAAAGGTGGGAACAGAAAAAGGCACACACATAGATCTATGGCTGAAGCTGCAGACTGAAGAAACTGTTTCTGAGTTTTCATGACAAGGGCTGTTGGTTTAGTAGCTAAAGAAGATCATTGGCACAACAGCGAGGGGCAACCACCCTTAACAGAAATTCCCTTCCCTCTGTTAGCCTCAACTCTCTTTCTGGGCTGACCTTTTTTATAGGAAAATTCTTGGTTCTCTCCTGAAAATTTCCCGTTCTCTTCTCATAGGGGTACATTGGTACGAAATACTGATTACATCATGATAAATATTTTCCATCATACCAGAGACATCATAAGAGAAAAAATGAGGTTCAGATATTGAGAATATGACAAGCGAATGAAGACATCGCCATGACTTCAAGCACTGGTTGCATGACAGGAAATCACTCGCCATTTGGGTTGCCCCACCAAAATAGGGATCCCTTCTCGATTGAGTTTCTTAGAGAAAGACGGGAAAAGACTATCATTATCATCACAGCATCATAATTTTTTTTAATTATATGTCTATCTATCAACTACATTCACTGAGAAAAGAAAGTGCTTTTTGGATTGAAATCACGGGTATACCTGAGAAGCAAAAGTAGCCTTCTGTGATACTTCATTCTTTTGTTCACTAGCTTGAGCTGAAACCGGGAGCACTGTTCAAAGCACAAGAGGTCACAATTTTGATTCCTAGGAATTTGAGGCTCGGATACTGCATTTTGCACGGACAAAGAGAAGGCAACCACGCCATCGCTGCAAAATCACCGATTGCATGCAAAAGAGAGCATCAAATGTACGCCATCCAGGATTTGCCAGGCAAGGAAATGGGTCGGATTGTCCTCAATGCCCGATTTTGTTAGCCCAGAACGTGACATTATTATCATAAGCCTAAAAAAAAGGCCATTTGTGCGAATTCCCCAAGAACACACACGCACGCACGCACTGAGATATATGGATTCATTTTCTGTTTCTAAGCATTTCTTAAACAACGACTGTTGGTTTAGTTGCTAAAGAAAATCAGTGGCACAAACAGAGGGGCAACCACCCTTAACTTCATTTCTTTCTGGGCTGATTTCTTTTAGGAATTCTTGGCTCTCACCTGAAAATTTCACAACTTTTCTCTCCTCATAGGGATACACTAGTAACCAAGTACATGATTTCATCATGAAAAATGTTTTCTGTCATACCAAAACACCCAAAGAGTAAAGTTGAGGCTCAGATCAGTTAATAAGAAAGGAGAATGAAGACATCACCATCGCTGCAAACACTGGTTGCATGATACAAAGATCACTTGCCATCCGGGTTGCCCCCACAAGATACAACCCGATTCATTTGCTCAGAGAAAGAAGGAAGCAAGAAGGAAGAAACTATCATCACTGCCTCGGTTTCTTCTTTTTTTTGGGTGAAGAGATGAATTTATTACAACTCCTAAACATAAGGACCAATTTGAGCCAAAAACATTTAAACAAGAACAGAGCACCATTGGCCGAGTGGTTTATGTTTGGACAACACTATTTCCCTGATATTTAAAGGGCTGTTTGATTTTTTTTCATATGAGAAGTCATGGGTGTTGCAGAGAGAGGCAACCACCCATGTAAAAACTCCTCTCTGCTAGCCTCATTCTTCTTTCTGGGCTTATTTATCATTTGCTTGTGTCAAAGCCAAGTCTTTTAGAGCACCAACCTTTCTAGTTTTTCCCTCTGCTGAATACTATTTGTTTGACAAGAGGGGTTGCTCTGATGGTAAGCAACCTCCACTTCCAACCAAGAGGTGTGAGTTCGAGTCTCCTCAAGAGCAAGGTGGGAAGTTCTTGGAGGGAAGGATGCCGGGGGTCTATTTGGAAACAGCCTCTCTACCCCAGGGTAGGGGTAAGGTCTACGTACACACTACCCTCCCCAGACCCCACTAAGTGGGATTATAATGGGTTGGTGTTGTTGAATACTATTTGTTTACTGCTTAGCTTGAAATGGAAAGGTGTTTTCCTCAAAAATGATGTAGAAATTTGAGGCTCAGATTTTGCATTTTTCATCGGACAGTGAAGAGAACCACGCCATGGCTGCAAAATCACCCGTTGCGTGCACAAGAGGGGATTTGCCAGGCCAAGATACGGGTCAGATTGTCTCAATGCCGGATTTTTCTCAGAGTGAAACATTATTATCATCACTGCCTCTTTTGTGACCTGAAAATTCCAATCTTTCTTCTTCTCATAGGTATATATCGGTAATGAGTAATCAAACACTGGTTTAATCAGAAAAACATTTTCCTACGTACCAAAGAACCTTTTTAAAATGACAACATAATACAATGGGTAACAACCATCCAAACAAGCTATTAAGAGTAAAACTGAGGCTCAGATCTGTCGATAAGATAAGAGAATGAAGGCATCGCCATGGCTACAAACACCAATTGCATGACAAAAATCACTTGCCATCCGGATTGCCCCGCCAAGATACAGGTCCCTGTATTTCTCTTGCTCATTGATTTGCTCAGATAAAGAAGAGAAGAAAGTATCAGCACAGCCTCAGTTTCTTCTTTTTTAGGGTGAGGAGTTGCACACATGAATTTAGTACAACTCCGAAACATAAGGACCATCTTGAGTTTAAAAAACCATAAAACAAGAACCAGAGTAACATTGGCCGAGTGGTTAAATATGTGTACAATTTCCCTGAGATTTAAAGGGTGGCTTGATATTTTTCTCATATGAGAAGTCACTGAGTTGCAACAACCCTTGAAGAACTCCTCTCTTCTCTCTGAGCTTTTGTGACTACTTATTGTTCGTCTCAAAGTCAGTCCTTTAAAGCAGCAATATTTCTACTTTTGCCCTCTGGTGAATACTTATTCACTGCTTAATGTTGCGATAATTTAGCCTCGTCATTCCCATAATTGGCATTTTGCTGATGAAAGGGATGTAAATTTGTCTCTTTGTAACAAAGGTAAAGAAATATTCATTGGCTAAATAGAACTTCGGAGAAAGAGAGTAACCACCCTTAGAAAATCTCAGCCTTTCTCGAGTTCCATAAAAATCCTCATTCTTTGAACACAAACAGATACTTGGGAGTCTCAGATTAACCTTTTCAGAGACATAAGCTAAACCCTCACATGGCTGCAAGCCTAAGAAAGCCATCAAAAGGTTGTCATAGACTTTAGGGCTCAGATTTTGCTGTATATGAACATGCAAAGAAAAAGAGACTCACGCCATGGTTGCAAGACACCAGTTCGCAAATGAATGCCATACCGGGTCGGGCCGCCAAGATATGGATCGGATTTTCTCAATGCAGTAAAGTGGATAACCCAGAAAGAAGCACTCATCATCACAGCCCATTTCAGGTGATCTGCGAAGATCAACATCAGTTATGGCTTTCTAAATACAAGGCAATAAAAATTAAAAGTAGCTATTTGTTTAAATCAGAAGCAAAAGCAGAGAAAGGAAGAGTATAGTCCCTTCACAGGGGCAGATACTCAACAGATGTTGTTTGGATGGTTTGTTTTTCGCTTTTTTTTTTTTCTCAAAGGGCTGTTGGTTTCATGAATAGAGAAATCATGGACATAGCAGAGAGTGGCAACCACCCTTTACTGAAAATACCATCTCTCTGATGTCTCATTCGTCCTTTCTGGGCTAAATTTGGGCCAAAATTAATAAATTCCAAAGAACAAGAGTACCCAGTTTCAATGTCAAGAAATTTGAGCTCAAACCTGCATTTTGATCAGGCAAAGAGAAGACAACCACGCCATGACTGCAAAATCACCAGTTGAATGCACAAGAGAGGATTTGCCAGGCCAAGATACGGGTCAGATTATCTCAATGCCTGATTCTGTTAGCCCAGAAAGTGAGACATTATCATCACTGCCTCTTTTGTAAAGTTACTCAAGATCAGGAAAAAGAAACATACACACACAAACTAGTTTCTTAAATCAAGACTTACACGGGCTTTTCAGTAAAGAAGTCTCCACACACACTGAGGTCTATGGTTCATAGCTTCTGTTTCTGAGTATTTCATGAACAAGCGCTGTTGGTTTAGTAGCTAAAGAAAATCATTGGCAAAACAGAGAGGGGCAGCCACCCTTAACAGAAAATCCCTTCCCTCTTAGGCCTCGTTTGTTTTTTTAAGATTAAGACGTCTANAAAATTACGGGCGCCGTCTGTGGTATGTCTAAATTCATACAAATATATGTTCCTACTATTACTAACAGACAATAAGGCTTATATTTCAAGATAAAAACATATACAATTCAAAAAAAAGTATATTTATTTTTTTATTTTTAAAAAGTCTGAATAGGTCTGATTGGGTCTGATTCGGTCAGACCTTTAATTGAGTCTTAATTCCGTTCAGAGGTTAAAATTCCGAAAATACACCTCTTTTTTCGGTGCTCCTTTCTCTCTCTTGACATCAGGCTATTTCTTCTAAACCCAAAACAAATTTCATCCTTCACACGTCTCTCTCTTCAAGGATCAAGCAGCCGCCGAATTTTTTTATGGGTAAGATTTTGAAAATTATACTTGGAAAATTCTTGGCTTTCACCTAAAAATTGCCCAACTTTTCTCTTCTCATATGGATAAATTGGTAAACAAATACTGATCCATCATGATAAATATTTTCCATCATAGCAAAGACACCACAAGAGAAAAAATAAGGCTCAGATATGTTGAATTGAAAGTATGACAACAGAAAGAAGACATCACCATGGCTGCAAGCACCGGTTGCATGAGAGATCACTCGCCAACCAGGTTGCCCCGCCAAGATACAGGTCCCCTTATTGTCCTCAATGCCCAATTCTGCTAGCCCAGAAAGTGAAATAATATTATCATCACTGCCTCAGAAGAAAAACAAAATAATTGCGGAAATATGACACTTTTGGGGTGATCTTTAACTTTTGATCCCCGCTTGCCCCATGGGGGCACTTCAAGGTCAAAAGTTGAAACTGTTGCTCATGAGGTAAGTGCGGTGCAACACTTGTTAACTTGAAGTTCTGCCCATGGGGCAAGCGGGGAAAAAATTGAAGATCATCCACTTTGAGGGCTATTTTGGTACTTCACCCTCAGAAAAAGACTATAGCTGAGATAAATGACAGAAGCAATAAGAGTAAAATTGAGGCTCAGATCTGTTGATAAGACAAGAGAATGAAGACATCACCATGGCTGCAAACACCGGTTGCATGACACAAAGATCACTTGCCATCCGGGTCACCACCAAGATATGGATCCCTTAATATCTCTTGCCCTGTTGGTTTTTGCTCAGAGAAAGAAGAGAAGACAATCATCATAGCCTCTGAATTCTCTCTCATCCGCTTAAAAGCTACTTAAATTCAGCTAATCCAACAGGCTCTTAGTTCAACTCCTTAACATAAAGGAGCATTTTCACTTGAAAAAGAACTTCACTTTTTTCCGGGATTTCATAATTCTTATGTCCAAACGCCAACTTAAAGGGTTCTTTGATTTTTGTTTCACATGAGAAGTCACTGAAGTTGCAGAGAGGGGCACCCACCCTTTGAAGAACTCCTCTCTGCAAGCCTCCTCTCTTCTCTCTGAGATTTTGTGTCTGCTTATTGCTCTTCTCAAAGTCAGTCTTTTAAAGCAATTTGAGGCTCAGATTTAGCATTTTGATCAGGCAAAGTGAAGGGAACCACGCCATGGCTGCAAAATCAACGGTTGCATGCAAAAGAGAGAGCCTCAATTGCAGGCCATCTGTGGCTTTGCCAGGCCAAGATACGAGTGATTGTCCTCGATGCCCGATTTTGTTAGCCCAGAAAGTGCATATTATCATCACTGCCTCATGAAAGGCTATTTGTGCAAATTCCCCATAAAATACAGACTGAGATCTATGAATGAAGCAGTAGATTGAAGAAAATCCATGCATATGCTTCAATGATCATAGCTGCTGTTTCTATGTATTTCATGAACAAGGGCTTTGGTTTAGCAGCTAAAGAAAATCATTGGCACAAAAGAAAGGGGCAACCACTGTTAGAAGAAAATCCCTTCCCTCTATTAACCTCATTTCTCTTTCTGGAAAGAATTTTAGGAAAATTTCCCAACTTATCTTTTCTCATATGAATACATTTGTAACCAAACACTGATTTCATCATGAAAAATATTTTCCATCATACCAAAGACACCCTTTTAAATAACAATACAGTACAATAGGTAACAACCATCCAAACAAGCTATAAGAGTAAAATTGAGGCTCAGATTTGTTGATAAGACAAGAGAATGAAGACATCGCCATCGCTGCAAACACCGGTAGCCATCCGGGTTGCCCTGCCAAGATATGAGTCCCTTTATTTCTCTTGCCCCAAGAAGAGAAGAAAGTATCATCTCAGCCTCAGAACTCACTCTCTGTCTCTCTCGTCTTTATGAGGAGTTGTAGGCATGAGTTAAGTTCAGCTCCTTAACATAAAGGACCATTTGAGTAAAAAAATTCACAGGGTGCGAATTATTTTTCCTTGAGATTTTTCTTTTAAGAGACAATCAGAACATAACATTACATAACGCCTTGGTTTACAGTTTAAAGGACAATCAAATTTTTGTACATCAATCGACGATAAAGAATAACAATTGAAGTTATACATATCACCTTATCAAGGCACCTTTGGCTAACAAGAAAATTTTGGGGATTTTGGTCATTCTGATGCTTCATCTTAAAGTAAGGATCAGAGATTAATGTATTCCAATATTTTGAAACACGTTTGAATCGAAGAAGAGACCACACAGGTAACCTGCTGAGGATGTCCCTAATTATTTCCTCTTGGAAGTGAATTCCCTTTTGTGTGTTATCTTTATTCTTTGGAGTTTCTCTATTTGCTTCAATTTGAATGCTAGAGTTTCTCTCTACTTTGCAGTTGGAAGTAATGGTTGTTTGAGATTCATAGGGCTATTTGATTCTTTTTTCTAGGTCACTAGAGTTGCAGAGAGGGGCAACCACCCTTGTAAAAATCCCTCCTCTATGCAAGCATCCTCTCTTCTCTCTGAATTTTTGTGTCTGCTTATTGCTCGTCTCAAAGTCCTTTAAAGCACCAAAACTTATAAAGGGTTGTTTGACACTTTTTTCATATGAGAAGTCGCTGGTGGCTCATATTCGCCTTCTCTCAAGCATAAGCTAAACCCTGCCATGGCTGCATGCTTAAGAAGCCTTAAGCTGCCACGCCAAGATACGGCAAAGCTCAACCATCTGATGAGTAAAGAATGAAAATCTTCACTGCCTCATTTGAACTTATTCGCTAAAGAGTAGTTTGATAAACGGAAAATTTTGAGTGATCATTGGCTGCTGAGAATGCCAGAGAGGGGCAACCACTCAAAGAACTCCCCAAAACTCTCTGAATCCAGCAGCCTCAGATTGACTGAAACATGTTTCCTCCATATCAAGTAGAGACAAAGTAAGATTACGGAAGAGGAGGCTCAGATCTATATTTATGCTCATGCAAAGAAAGTCCAGCCACGCCATGGCTGCAAATGGCCCAACTTGCATGTAATAAAAAAGCAAGCATCCGGGTCATTGCCCCGCCAAGATACGGGTTGGTTACACCCTATGCTCAATGACTAGCTCAAAATGATAGATTGAAAGATCATCACGGCCTTGATAAGGCACTATTTTGCACTTTTTTCTCATAAAATTAGTGCGTGTAAATGACTTAAATGACTCTTCCGGACAAGTTTGGGGGCAATTTATGTATATTCCCTATGTTACATCATAGGGGCTCAGATTTCAATTAAATAAGGCATTGGGCTTTATAATAAACTGCCATGACTGCAACCTCTCCGGGCTACCCCGCCAAGATACGGCTCCTATCATTTCAATGCCTAACTCAAATTGCTCAAGAAAAGCTTTATCTTCATAGCCGCCATAATTCTCCCTGTTCTTGCAATGATTTCTTGATGTTTGGTTTAAAAAAAGGACGACAACAGCAAGAGGAGAAACATCAGATGCAGCAGCAACAAAAACAACATGGGTATATGAAAAAGATCCATTTGTTACACACATACCACATTTTTCAAAGTGCCAGAGGTCCTGAGTTCGATTCCCAGAAATTTGAGGCTCAGATACTGCATTTTGCTCGGACAAATTGCAGGCAACCACGCCATGGCTGCAAATCACCATTTGCATCCACAAGAAGGGATTTGCCAGGCCAAGATACGGATCTGATTGTCCTCAATGCCCGATTCTGTTAGCCAAGAAAGTGAACATAATTATCATCACTGCCTTACAAAAGGCTATTTGTGCAAATTCCCCCAAAACACACACTGAGATCTATGACTAAAGCAGTAAGAGTAAAACTAAGGCTCAGAAGTGTTGATAAGACAAGAGAACGAAGACATGACCATGGCTGCAAACACCGGTTGCATGACACAAAGATAACTTGCCATCCTGGTTGCCCCGCCAAGAGAGTCTTTTAAAGAAGCAATATTTCTACTTTTACCTTCTGGTGAATCCTCCTTGAGCCGAGGGTCTATCAAAAACAGACTCTCTATCTCTATGAGGTAGGGGTAAGGTCTGCGTACTCACTACCCTCCCCAGACCCCATTTATGGGATCAAACTGAGTTTGTTGTTGTTGTTGTTTGTACCTTCTGGTGAATCCATACCCAAACATTTAAGAAGAATTAACCTAAATAGCCATCCACCCAACCGCCTAAACTAAAAATAGCCGGCAGATGTATAAAATATGTATAATCCACGTAAAACATGTACGACCGTATATAATTAGTGTATAATCAATGTACACCGGTGGGAGGGAGAAAGTAAACGGTGAATCAGACGGGCTATTTGTGTAAAGATCCCAACATTTAAAGGACTGTTTGATTCTCTCATTTTTCATATGAGAAGCCACTGGAAGCTCAGATTCGCCATCTCTCAAGCATAAGCTAAACCTCGCCATGGCTGCAAAAGCTTAAGCTGCCACGCCAAGATACAGCAAAGCTCAACCATCTGATGAGTAAAGAAAGAAAATCTTCACTGCCTCATTTGAACGTATTCCTAAAGAGAGGTCCGAAAAGGGGGAAATTTTGAGTGATTTTTGACTACTGAGAATGCCAGAGAGGTGCAACCACTCAAAGAACTCCCCAAAGCTCTCTGAATCCAGCAGCCTCAGATTGAGTGAAATGGATTCCTCCGTATCAAGTACGCTCAAAGTAAGATTATGGAGAAAATGGAGGCTCAGATCTATATATATTTTAGGCAAAGAAAGTACAGCCACGCCATGGCTGCAAATATCGCCAGCTGCATGCAATAAAATTACAAACATCCGGGTCAGTGCCCCGCCAAGATACGGGTCGGGTACTCTCTATGCTCAATGACTAGCTTAGGATGATGGATTGAAAGATCATCACCGTCTCAATAAGGGACAATTTTGGACTTTCTCATAAAGTTAGAGTATGTAAATGATTATTCGGGACAAGTTTGGGTGTAATTTATGTATTGTCGCTATGTCGTATCAATGTACATAACGAGGCTCAGATTCCAATTTAATTAAGCATTGGGTGCTATCAGAAACCGCCATGGCTGCAACCTTTCCGAGTTATCCCGCCAGGATATGGCTCTTATTATCTCAATGCCTTACTCAAATTGCTCAAGAAAATCTTCACAGCCACCATGATTCAGCATGTTCTTATCTTTTGTTGTTTGGTTCATAAAGCAAATGAGGGTCTATCGGAAACAACCTCTCTACCTTCAAGGTAGGGGTAAGGTCTGCATATACACCACCCTTCCGAGTTGGGTCTATACTAGCTTTTTTGTTGTTGTTGTTGTTGGTTCATAAAGCAGTATGACAGCAGCAAGAAGAGAAACATAAGATGCAACAGCAACAAAAACAACATAGGTATATAAAATAGATCCTTTTTTTTTTTTTTACACGTATACCACATTTTTCAAAGCACTAGACATCCTGAGTTTGATTTCAGAAATTCGAGGCTCAGATACTGCAGTTTCCTTGGATAAAGTGAAGGCAACTATGCCATGGCTGCAAAATCACCAATTGCTTGCACAACAAGAGATTTGCCAAGCCAAGATACGAGTTGGGATTGTCCACTATGCCCAATTTTGTTAGCCCGGAAACAACAACAACAACAACAACAACCCAGTATAATCCCACTTAGTGGGGCCTGGGGAGGGTAGTGTGAGGCTGTTTCCAAATAGACCCCCGGCATCCTTCCCTCCAAGAACTTCCCACCTCGCTCTTGGGGAGACTCGAACTCACAACCTCTTAGCCCAGAAAGTGAAACGTTATTATCATCACTGCCTCTTTTGTAAAATTATTCCAAAGGAGGAAAAAGAAACACATGCACACACAGATACACAGAGGTTCAGCGGTAAAACTGTATACTGAAGAAGCATATGCTGTTTCTCAGCATTTCATGAACAAGGGCTGTTGGCTTAGTACCTACAGAAAATCACAGGCACAACAGAGAGGGGCAACCACCCTCAACAGAAAATCCCTTCCCTCTGTTGGCCTCATTTCTCTTTCTGGGCAGACTTTTTTTAGGAAAATTCTTGGCTCTCAGCTTAAAAGTTCCGAACTTTCTTGTTTTCAGAGTTATAGTAACCAAATACTGATCTCAACATGAAAAATATGTTTCCCATCATGCCAAAGACGCCATTTTAAAATAACAATACAATAGGTAACAACCATCCAAACAAGCTATAAGAGTAAAGTTAGAGACTCAGAACTGTTGATAAGACAAGAGAATGAAGACATCGCATTGGCTGCAAACACCGGTTGCATGACAGAACGATCACTTGCCATCCGGATTGCCCCACCAAGATACGGGTCACTTTTAATTTTCTTGCCCCATTAATTTGCTCAAAGAAAGAAGAGAAGACAATATCATCACAGCCTCAGAATTCTCTAACTTCTGCTTAACAGCTCAACTCCTTAACATAAAGGACCACTTGAGGCAAAAACCTTCAACATGGTATGAATAATTTTTCCCTGAGATTTAAAAGGCTGTTTTGTTCTTTACTCTTTTCTTTTTGTTTGAGAAGTCACTGGAGTTACAGAGAAGGTAACCACCTTTTGAAAAATTCCTCCTCTCTTTTCTCTTAGTTTTTAACCGCCTCGTTTGATCCGGACATTTGTTGGCTGCTACAGCACTTATAGAGAACATATATTATAACATAAACTGAAAAATTGGTTCCAAAGAAAACTTGGCTGTTACAGTGAAATGTTGTTAGAGAGGATGGTTGTTACAGAGAAGTTTGACGGTATAAGTAGTGTATAATCCATGTATACTGGTTGGAAAAAGTTAATAGTGAATCTGGCCGGCTATTTCAGTAAAGATCCCAACATTTAAAGGGCTGTTTGAGTCTCTTTATTTTCATATGAGAAGTACTGGAGACTCAGATTAGCCTTTTCTCAAACATAAGCCAAACCCTGCCATGGCTGCAAGCTTAAGAAGCCTTAAGCTGCCACGCCAAGACATAGCAAAGTTCAACCATCTGATGAGTAAAGAATAAAAATCTTCACTGCCTCATTTGAACTTACTTGCTAAAGAGTCGTGTGAAAAGGGGAAATTTTGAGCGATCATTGACTGCTGAGAATGCCAGAGAGGGGAAACCACTCAAAGAACTCCCCAAAACTCTCTGAATCCAGCAGCCTTGGTTGACTGAAAGAGTTTCCTCCATGTCAAGTACACCAAAAGTAAGATTATGGGATAGGAACTGAGGCTCAGATCTGTATTTATGCTTAGGCAAAGGAAGTCCAGCCCTGCCATGGCTGCAAATACCCGAGTTGCATGCAATAAAATTACAAGCATCCGTGTCATTGCCCTGCCAAGATATGGGTCGGTACTTGCTATGCTCAATGACTAGCCAAGGATGATAGATTGAAAGATCATCACCGTCTCGATAAGGGACAATTTTGAGCTTTTTCTCGTAAAGTTAAGTATGTAAATGACTTTTCGGGACAAGTTTGGGGGTAATATATGTAATTTCCCTATGTCACATGGTGTACATAATGAGGCTCATATTTCAATTTAATTAGGCATTGGTTTCTTTTGAAGGGAGCCTTGCGTAACTGGTAAAGTTGATGCCATGAGACCAGGAGGTCACCGGTTCAAGCCGTGGAAACAACCTCTTACAGAAGTGCAGGGTAAGGCTGCGTACAACTGACCCTTGTGGTCGGCCCTTCCCCGGACCCCGCCCGCACATGTCGGGAGCTTAGTGCACCAGGCTGCCCTTTTTTAGGCATTGGGTTTTATCAGAAACTACCATGGCTGCAACCTCTTCGGGTTACCCCGCCAAGATATAGCTCTTATCATCTCAATGCCTAACTCAAATTGCTCAAGAGAAGCTTTATCTTCACAGTGATTTCTTGTTGTTTGGTTCAAAACACAGCACAATAGCAACAAGAAGAGAAACAGAAGATGCAGCAGCAACAAAAACAACATGGGTTATGGGTATAAGAAGAGATCCATTTTTAATGCATATACCACATTTTATGCTATTTTTTACAACGATTTCTAGCTGTTTGGTTCATAAAACAGCACAATAGCAGCAAGAAGAGAAACATAAGATAAAACAGCAACAAAAAGAGTGTGGTATACAAAAGGATCCAATTTTTATGCCATTTTTTTTACACATATTTAGGTTTCTCTGCCAACATACAAGCCTGTAACTGTAATACCCAATTCTATTTTCTCTGAAAAATCATCATGAAAGCCTCAATATCACATTGCTTCATTTGCAAAATTACTCAAAATCAGGAAAAAAGAAACACACACACTAGTTTCATAATTCAAGACTTTCAGCTAAAAATTCTACACGCATACACACACCACTTTCATAAATCAACACTTACACAAGCCTTTCAGCTAAAAAGTCTCCACACATACACTAGTTTCTTAAGCTAAAAATTCTACACACATACACACACTACTTTCATAAATCAAGACTTACACAAGCCTTTCAGCTAAAAAGTCTCCACACATACACTAGTTTCCTAAATCAAGACTTACACAGGCCTTTCAGCTAAAAAGTCTCCACACACACACACACACAGTGAATCTATAGTTCATAGCTTCTGTTTATGAGTATCTCATGAGCAAGCCTGTTAGTTTAGTTGCTACAGAAAATCAGTTGGTTCAGACCTAAAGAAGTTCCCAACTTTCTTCTTCTTAGAGGGATAAATTAGTAACCAATTACTGATTTCATCATGCAAAATATTTTTCATCGTATACCAAAGACACCCTATAAAATAACAATAAAATACAAGCAATTAAGAGTAAAATTGAGGCTCAGATCTGAAAATAAGACAAGAAAATGCAATTTGATTCTCACAGAAAGAAGAGAAGAAAATATCATCACTCACAGGTTACAGCCTCAGAACAAACACTCGAGCTCAGAGCTTTTGTGTCTGCTTATTGTTTTTGTCTCGAAAACAGTCTTGTAAAGCAGCAGTGATTATACCTTTGCCCTCTGCTGAGTGCTTATTTACTGCTTATTATTGGGATAGTTTAGCCTCGTACGTATCGAAATGGAAGGGTATTTTGGTCTAAATAAGTAGGAGAACATTAGATAATTAATCCAGTTTGGTTCAGTAGAATCTTTTTATATCTCGTTTTGTGAAATTCATTCCACGTGCTATTTAGTTATACTAGTACTAGTTTAAGTGTAGCGTGTTGCGCTCAAAGCGGATTTAGGGGCGCAAGGGCTTCGTCGAAAAATTACACTGTATATATGGAAAAATTTATTTTTTACCTCTATATGTTAAGTTTTGAATCCCTTAGCACAATCCAAAAGTGTAGTTTAGTGGTAAAGGGGTTTCAAAATCTACATAAGGTCATGAGTTTAATTCCCACTGGCTACCAATTTTTTTTTTTGAACCCCCTTTGTGTAGATCCTGCCTCCGCCACTGATTGCGCGTGATTAAAAGGCATACCTCATTTGACAACAAATACTATATAAAAAAAATTTGGACTTATATCCTGTTTGGCCAAGCTTTTTTTTGGCCAAAAGCACTTTTGGCCAAAAACTGAGGTGTTTGACCAAGCTTTTGGAAGGAAAAAAAGTGTTTTTGAGGAGAAACAGAAGCAATTTTTGAGAAGTAGAAAAAATCAGATTCTCTTCAAAATCACTTTTCTGAAAAGCACTTTTGAAAAAAAATAACTTGGAAGCAGTTTTCAAAAGCTTGGTCAAACGCTAATTACTGATCAAAAGTGTTTTTCAAATTAATTATCCAAATACAAACTACTTCTCACCCAAAGCACTTTTTTAAAAAGTACTTTTGAGAAAAACACTTCTCAAAATAAGCTGATTTTAGAAGTTTGGCAAAACTGGCTATTAGTTACGAACTTCGTCATTAATCCGTTGCTAAATTGTTTGCCGTTAAATTTTATACCCCTTGTGTATGTGCTATGCGCATGTCATCGTCAATAAGTAAAAAATATAGTATACAAGAAGAATAAATTGTTGTAAAGTATTATTTGATAAACTTTAATGATAAAAAGTCCTATTATTAATTATTTGTATGATATTGTTTCGTATCTCTTTAATTAAAGTACTTTTGAATCGTGACACTAAATGACATATTTATTCAGCACACTTCTTACCAAAATAGTCTATATGTTTTTGTACAAGACTATACTAATTTAATATCTAAGAAAATAGCAAATGACTTTTTTGTTATTGTGGAATCTTTTAGTAAATCGAAAAATTTCAATCAACATTTCTAAGGACCTTATCATTTTTACTTTTTATATTTGTGCATTGAATTTATAATATGTATTATGTAGAAAAATATAAAATAAATTAATTGGATTGGTTTTATTTCTAAAACTTTTGTAAACGAATTGTATTAAACTTTATCACTGGCGACTTTATAGTAAAATCTCCTTTTATTAATTATTTGCGTGATATTGTTTCGTATCTTCTTAATTAAAGATGCTTTTGAATCGTGACACTAAATAAAATATTTATTTAGACTTCTATTTCTAACATATTCTTACCAAAATAGTCTATATATTTTTTGTATAAGATTATACTTATTTAATATTTAAGAAAATAGAAAATGACTTTTTCGTCGACTATGAAATTTTTTAGTAAATGATAAAAAGTTAAATCAACATTTCTAAGGACGTTATCATTTTTATTTTTTATATTATTTATTTGTGCATTGAATTTATAATATGTATCCTGCAAAAAAAATATAAAATAAATAAATTATTGGTTATATTTCTAAAACTTTTGTAAACGATTTTACGTAAGTCTTTTCTAAACATAATTTGCTAATTTATTTTTTGTAATTAAAGTTAGTGAATGACTCCTCCTTATTATTATGAGACAAAAATAGGTTCATAGTTCTTTATAGTTGCTAGAATAAATTAATTCTAACCCATCTTTTTAGGAGATTCGCATGTGCAATTTAATTCCATTTTAAAAAATAAATAAGCAATCCAAAAGTTACGAACCGCTCTTGTAAATAAACAAATAAAATTCTTTCCTTTAATTTAATATATTTCAGAATATTAATGATGTATTGTTACCATGGGAGATAAAATTTCTTCCTAAATGGTAGTGTTTCTTTTATAAGGTAAAATATTAAAAAATATTTTGAGAAAAATAGTAAATAACAACTTTGTCTATAAAGTATCGCGCCAAACAATATAAGAGAATAAATTATTGGAGACTCCAAACAAAATATTTCATGACCCTTTCTGTAAATTAAATATAACAATTCTAAGTTATAAATTAGCACATATTATGTTAAATTTTTAACTGTTTAGAGTTCAGCTATTTATGTTTCACAACCTATAATTTTTTTGTGGTTTTAATGTGGTTGCTAAAAATATATAGAAGATCACACATGCACAAACAGACATATATTACAAATAGCAAAAGAAGTATCGACTTTAGATAATTTTAGCATGTCGAATAACCCATAGAAGTCGTCAAGTATTGGATTAATGAACTTGACAATTACTGTGTAAGAAATTATAATCCTATACAAGAAGAAATAAGTAGAAAGGCTAGAAGAAACAAATTGCACTATTATTATTATTATTATTATTATTATTATTATTATTATTATTATTATAAAAGAGACACCACATCATAATTAAGCAAAAAAATCTCAGCACTTTAAATGAACATAAAAGCATATCTGGTCGGTTGACACTATAGATTGCAATAAAATCAAGGAGAGCATAAGCAAAAACTTTAGTGAAGAGTTTATGCGGAGTTTTAAATTGAAAGTCAAAATTATTATTAGATATTAATTCATGGAAATATACTACAAAGAATAAAGCAAAAACAAAAAGCTAAAACCTAAATCAAATCAAAACAAACTATGAAACAAATTGGACAACTATACGTTTTCAATTCTCCAAATTTACTTGGAGATATGCTTATACAATGACTTCTTCAAGTCTCCATATTTGGAAAGAAATCAAAGGGAATAAGGACTTTTTTGTAATAAATTTGTGCATAATTATTAGGTGAAATATTATAAAAATAATTAGGCAATAATTTGAGGAAAATAGTAAATGACAATTTTGTCTATTGTGGTGTCTTTTAATGAAGGGTAATAAGTTCAATCAACATTTCGTTAAAGGCCTTCGTGCTTTTAATATAATATAGATATAAATTCATCCTTTAATATTAATTAATAAAATTGACCTTTATTATCTTTTTAATTTATTCATTAAAAATATAATAGATTGAAACTTTTTATTTCAAGGGCAACTTTAAAGAAAAAAATTAATTTCTTTTTAATATCTGGAAAAAATAAATATTATGGAACATTAAAAAAAGGTCATAAAATCAATTAAAATTGACAGAAAGAGCATATCTTTTCGGTGAAAAATAACACAGAAGCTCTGTTAAAATAACACAGTAATATTTTCTATGGACATTTTTCTTTTATTGAAACTGATAGTGTGCATAGGAAATCATTCTGTGTATGTATATTAATAAGAGAGGGAAAAGCTGAATTAACCTTAGTGGAAATTTGAACATCAGCTTTTTAAACTTTTAATATAAAAATCTATATTTTATTTTCTAAAATCACAATTTATTGTAGTAAAAATACTTTATAAACATGGTAGACAAACTATTTCACTTCTTATATTCTTAAATAGCACAACCACATTATTTTTCCGCAGGAGAAGTATACAGAAGATTTAAGTTGCATACAATAGCAATATAAAAAATTTCTTATACTATTACCGTATTTTAAACGGTTATTAAAGATTATTTTTTTAACGGTTAATCAACTAAAATGTTGTTTGGTTGGGAAATAAGTTATTAATTATCTCGGGATTGTTACTATAATCCCGAGATAACTAATATCGGAATTAGTGATAAACTCATATTAAATTTAATCTCGGAATCCATTATCCCTTATTCCTCGTACCAAACGAGCCCTAAAACGGCTGCATTAACTTTTAACGGAAAAATAGGAAAGGATCAAGTTACATTCCTAAAGATTTGACAATATACAATTGGAAAAAAGCTAAATTCAACAAAGGAAAACCAAAAAGATTGAAAGCAAACTGACCAACTGAAACACACCCTATATCAAAACTTTTGCCTTCTACTGAACCTCCCAAAAGTGGACTCGAAATGGCGAATATTCCGTTAATTCGAACTTGAGCACGAATGTTGAATTTACTTTTTTTGGTCCCTTCTCTTCCCCTCCCGCCCCCTCCCCCCTTACTCCAAAGAACGGGAAAAAGTTGGATTCATCACCAAAAATTGATTGGATCTCTATTCACTCCTTCTCATGACAATAACAAATACAAACATCAATNCCCCCTCCCCCTTACTCCGAAAAAGGGGAAAAAGTTGGATTCATCACCAATAATTGATTGGATCTCGATTCATTCCTTCTCACGACAATAACAAATACACACATCAACGTTCGGCAGGTATATCTACATAATCTCTTTGCCTCTTTGATGGAGAAAAATTTTCTGCACTACATCACCTTCCAATGTGACTAAGTAGGACACCTGCTTGAAATGTTAATTGTTATAACATCACCAACATAATATAAGGTGCTTGTATAAAAAATTGAACACTCAAAATACTCACAATCTCAAGAGCACTGACTTTGTGAAGTAGGAATCCATTTACATTTTGCCTAAGAAAACCAAAAAATGAAGAGAAAATGTTATACAATAAAAAAAGGTCAGCCCGGTGCACGAAGTATCCCACGTTCACACAGGTCTAGGGACGAGAAAAAGTTATACAATGACAGTGGAAATAAAGTGTAGACTTAGTCTCAAAAGTCTACTGAATATCAAGAGAGATACTCACATAGAGTAGGGCAGGTTCTGATTCACTTTAGTAATCAAAGGTCCTTTATATCTGGCAGTTCCAGTTTTGGTTTTTGCGACCGGTCTTTTCTCAACATTGTCATTACAAGCCTGTCCACTTATATATGCATCCTAAACAAGAAAGAGCAAAGCATGTAGGTTATACTCATATCGGTTTCATATGTGAAACCACGGAAGGAACTCAATCACTACTAATTGGCATCTTTATTTATACATCAGTGACGATAGATGCATTTACCACAGTTTTAGCAGTAAGGCAAAGCCGTGTCAAGAATATATCTGATTTGGGCGCTTAGCATATGTTTTGCGGGCACATGGATATGCGAGTTTACATTCTTCCCTTTGTTATTAGATTTTATGCATATAGAAAAACAGATTTTGCGGATGAACATTGTATCTGGTATTACAGTATTCCTCAGGTTTCTTGCTCTAAAAAGTTAGGATCTTGACTTACTACGCCGTACTTCAGAAATACGCCATGTAAAGACTGTAATTCGTGTTTTAGTTCTGTTTGAGTAGCATCGTCTTCACAGGCTACCAATGGATGAAGTCCGATAGCAATGCACCTACATTTACACGGTATCACTTTAGTCACATAGGGAGGTCAGGCCACAACTGCTGAGGCAATGCAATAGCATATTCTCTCTATGGAGTAAAACAATGCAGTTTGAAGGTACCATGTGCGTTCACTATTTTTAAGTGTGTCGATCAGCCATTCTGATTGCCTATCTCCAGCACCATTCGAAGCATCCTAGAAACAAGAACAAGAAAGTTAAAAGTTTACCGTAAAAGCTCTGAGCAGAAGGCTGAAACCAACTTCCAAGCCTTGTCAAATGTAGGCATGACAATAGCAGTTTTGTTAAAGATCCATATTTGATTTTCTCAGAAATCAACTGCCAATTTCCACAGAAAGAAACGAAGCACGATAGGAAATCAGCTGGTGGAGAGGCTGAAAACAGAATCCAGCAACGAGATAGTAAGACATAAATAGGTCATGAGCAATTTCACACTCATTAAAAGTATAGCTGCTTACAAATGTCTTCATTCTTCTAAATGTAAATATGAGGGTACTCTTCGCTGTATGTATCATGTCGAATGGGAAAATAAAAGACAAATAACGTCAAGGATGACAGTTGAAAGTTCTTAAAGAACTCTGCCTACTACCACAATAGGCATAGGAACACACTTAAAAGACTATCAATCCAACACAAGCTGAAATTTGACAAGTTATCTGACTTCTGGTGTCGAACCTCCCAACAGCTTTCAAAGGTATTACTATATAATAACCTTATACTGGTCGGATAGATTAGAGGCAAAGAAGCTAGAGATTAACTATCATTAAGACGTTATGCAATTATATTGATGTAACTAAGGGCCCTTGGAACAAACTTTCTAAATTTTCACAGAGAAAGCCAACACAAATTGCTATAGACATATCAAAAGTAAAAACCATTCACACTTCAAGAAATAGGGAAAAAGCCCGAGTTTTTAGTAGTAACGAATGGCACAGACCCAAACCAAAGGGAATGAGAAGATGACTCTGGGCACAAATATGTTTTTTCCTTTGGGTAATCCAATTCACATGCTGCCCCGAATATGAGTTCTACTTCCCTATCTGAGGCAAGCCTCAAGACTTCCTCTTGAAACATAATCCCGAATCCCCACCACCGCCAAAAGAAAGAGGAGGGAAGGGGGAAGGGGGAAGGGGGAAGGGGGATAATGATGAAAAGCTAGTAGAGCTTTGAAGTAAATTCATACTTGGAATTGACACCATCTGGAAATGTGCGCAAAAGGCCAATTTAAACAGATAAAAGAAACAAGTGTTTACCTCATATAATCCTGTATCCACAACTATAATATCTAAGCTTCCATGAGCAAACTTGAATTGCTCAAGGTAGTGATTCACCCCTCGTCCTTTGAGACCTCGCGTAGAGTACCTACAAGTTGAGGATGGCTGAAGGGAAACCGCAAAGACAATCCATTTTAAATGATGAAACACAGATCTAAAAGATAAAATGTTAGCCCAGGAGAACAAACTGTTTATTCATAGAGGAGCATACCATGGAGTCTTCGTAGAAGGAAAATGCTGAGTAGCCTGCCAAGCAAAAAGTATCGTGAAAAATATGAATTAAATCCAACCATTGGTCACTAAGTAGGTGACAAAGAAATCTTAGTAAATTATCTAATTTCGACACGATCCGTTCAGTAGCTGCATGTTAGATCCTAGACTAGCATCACTGCAATCAAATTCCTCTACCACTGAATTCTGCACTTATGAAGTCATTGGAGGGCTTACATTTTGCACGAGTGGGTCATCTTCCCCAAGTTCGCTTACGTTGATAACAAATCTTGCATTGAACTTCTTTGCTACCTTCTCCACCTTCATTCAATATAAGATTCCAATGAAAATGAATCAGCAAAAAAAATGAACATGATACAAAAGAGATGACTCTGATAACACGTATTACTCTAACATCACACCAAAAGATGAAGGAAGTCTTTGTAAAAAGAACAATGATTTAAGCTCTTTCATATGAATACTATACCGAATAAAAATAAAAAGTACTATAAGTTCTCTATATTTTCTACTGACATTGGACCTAAAGTAAAACGTACTTAGATGACTAAAGTATGTTCCCAACTAATTGTTATCGTATATATAAATCTTTTTCTTCCATTGCGCCTATTTTTTGCTAAGTCTGCATGGATTCAAAGAGATTAAAGGTCTAAACAACCTCTTTCTATATGGTCTATCTCTTTCCCTTTTAAATCTTTGCTCACAATGGTTTCACACCTATGGTGTATCTGTAGGCCAACACATGACATGACTAAACCATATCAAGCGATCATCTCTCATTGATCATTTCGAATCTTGTCTAATCGTGTATGAGCGCACCTCCAAATGATATATACGAAATTCTGAATTATTCTACCTCAGCATAGGCGAAGCTACATGTCTTAAAAGGCCTTCGTCGGAAAATTATACTGCGCATATAGGTAAAATATTAGGTTTAAGATATATAACATATATCGAACACTCTTTGTTGGACAAGAGGGGTTGCTCTGATGGTAAGCAACCCCACTTCCAACCGAGAGGTTGTGAGTTCGAGTCTCCCCAAGAGCAAGGTGAGAAGTTCTTGGAGGGAAGGAAGGATGCTGGGGGTCTATTTTGAAACAGTCTCTCTACCCTAGGGTAGGGGTAAGGTCTGCGTACACACTAACCTCCCCAGACCCCACTAAGTGGGATATTGTTGTTGTTGTTGTTGTCTTTGTTGGACCACTGCCTCAACAAAATAATGCAAAAAGGATAGAAATCAGAGTTGCTAAATTCTTCTACTACAGAGTGAAGTAACTAGCAATCTTCACCAAACCAAAACTCAACTTAAAAAACAATGTCCCAACAAGGAAAATTCAAAGAAAAATCATTCCTTTTGACAAATAACAAAAGAAAATTAAAAAAAATTCAAGATTATTTGAGAAACTGACCTGCTTGAGAAGAAGGGTCTGTTCTTCAATAGGCCTAACACCACCAGTAACACTGATGAAATATATATCCATAGGAATATTGTCATTTCCATTCCTTAAAATTGGCTTCTGATTTTGACACAAGTTGATAACAAGATAAAGAGATAAGCATAAAGAAACTTGAGTTACAATTGTACAAACCCATGATTTCTTCATCATTATCAAATGAAAACCAAATTTTCTTTGTCCTCAAATTCAAGAAACAGATCCCAGAAAACTACTTATATTATTGTAATAAATAAAATTTAGACCAGTCAGAAAATTAGTGGCATTAGTGTTAGAACTTGTTGCTTGTCAGATTGCACATGATGACCACGTGTGGTCGAGGCACAAGATAAGAATTTGGGTACGTAAACTTTTTGTAAACCACTTTTGGAAACATTTTTGAAGTAGTAAATATTTGGGGCCCGTTTGGTCATAAAAGAAAAAAATATTTTTTTGAATTTTGTTTTCTTTTTTTTTTCGAAATTAGTGTTTGGTCACAAAGTTTTTGATTTTACATTTGAAGATAAATTTCGGAATTTTTCAAAAATTCAAAAAACTCCAAAAAATTATTTTTCAAATTTTCACTTTAGATCGCTCACAAAAATTCAAAAATAGCTCAAAATTATATTCGTGTCCAAACACAACACCAATTTTTAAACACCATTTTCACTTAAAAAAATCATCTTTTTCGAATTTTACAATTCTTATGTCCAAACGCCCGGACATAAGAATTGTAAAACTTGAAAAAAGGTGAATTTTTTTTTCAAGTGAAAATGGTATTTGAAAATTAGAGTTGTGTTTGGACATGAATATAATTTTGGATTGTTTTTTATTTTTTGTGAGTGATCTGGGTGAAAATTTTGAAAAACAGCTTTTTAGAATTTTCAAAAAAATTTAAAATTCATCTTCAAGTGAAAATTAAAAATTTTATTGTCAAACGTCAATTTTGAAAAAAAGTAAAAAAAAATTCGAAAAAAAGTGAAAAAAATTCAAACGGGCTCTTAGTATGTTTTTGGAACACCTTTTTTGTTTAATATATATTGTTTTGGTTAAAAACCTTATTATTTTCAAAAAGAAATAGTCCTTTTCTCCAAAATAAGTAACCTATTTATCTCAAAGAGAATTTCTTCAAAAAAGTTTTCAAAAAATTGTCCACTTAAAAGTCATTATCAGTAACAGCTGCAATCAATACATTATAAATGATTGGACATTTAAACTTTACTCACAATAGAGAAATTCATGGTAGGAAACGTTCTATCTATCAATGGGGCCTACACGGTACAAATATGTGAGTATTGGATAAAATTTAATTTTGGAAATAGCACGGGTTAGTCAATTTTTGGATTGGTCATTCAAAAATAGTCAGCGTCTGCAAAAGCCATTGAAAAATAATCATTATTTTGTTGCAATAGGGATCGGGCTAGCATAATATAATGGCAGAGGCGAACCTACATGTTACAATGAGGGGTCATCGGACCCCGTAAGCTTCGACAAAATTTTTGTATATGTATATGTATATACCCTGAAAATAGTTAATTTAAAGCACTTGGCACCCCGAACACTAAAAGCCTTTAGGAGGCTCTAGTTGAGCAGAATAGTGTGCCCACATCGTGTAAAAATCTTGGGTTCGCCTATATATACTGGAGATCGATGCACCTGTGTATGAACTTCTAGCATATTATGTTAGAAATCCAACATGCGGGAAAGTTCCAGCATAATATACTGGAGATTGGAGCACCCATGTATGAACTTCCAGCATATTATGTTGGACCGATATATTATACTAGAACTCCAGTATACTTATGCTAGAACTTCATTATAATATACTGGAGTTCCAGTATACTTATGCTGGAACTCCAGTATATTATGCTGGAGTATTTTCCGGATTTTGGATAGTGTTTTAGTTCACATTTATTTTTACATTAAAAGTGGCTAAATTTCGATTACTTTTGAAATTGTGGCTATTTTTGAATGACCACTTGTAAATCTGGTTATTTTTTAATTTCTCACTTAAATATGAGATAAGTTTATCCCACGTTTGGTTGAGATAAAATTACGGTATAATTAATCCCGAGATTAGTTATTCCCGGATTGTAATGTTATTTTTATCCTTATGGAAAGGTGAAATAACAATCCCGGGATAACTAATTCAGATAATTTATTTCCCAACCAAAAGACCCCTAAATGTGTACTCATTGGCAGAAAAAGATCAATATATATAATGTATAATTGGACAAGTTCAAAACATGTACAGTATATTAGTAAAAAATTAGTGTTCATTGTTGGTAAAAATAAAAAATAGGATAAAATAAAAGGCTTTTTCGTATATATACCATATATGAAACTATATTACCAAATATGTTTATAGTTTGCTTATTACCCTTCATGTTAATAGTATTTTTATCTAATATATACAATGCATTAAATAAGGAATCACTGTAGCTTTATGATTCCTTATTTTGCGCGCTAAAAAAGGGGAATTAAATATTTTCCAGATCTTCCCCAATGCAAATCACGCGCTTTCCATAATTATCTTCGGCTTCACTCTGATCTTCTACAACGCAGAATAATATTTTCCATACTCTATTTTTGCGATACACTTTGTTTCCAGAAATTTTCTCTACATCTCTCTCTATTTCTCAATCGCAAATTTCAGTAATACAAAGCAAATGAAAAGAGAGCAGCAATTCCACCATTGACAACCATTAAAAAGCTTGAAAGCTTTGAATTCAAATTTGGGTTTTCAAAAATCATTATTTGTTTGGATTGGGTGTTGTTGAAAATAATCGGGAATATGGTTTGGAGTTTATATCTCAATTTTGAGGGGTTTTGGTGACGATTAAAGTTGGTTTTGACTGAATTTCATATTGAAACTCGAAGAAGAAGAAGACATATCGCAAAAAATGTAGATTGTTATTTATTTATTTATCTTTTATTCATTTACCTATTGTATGAAAGTTGAACAACATTGTATACAAATTGTATTAAAGTGAATGATTTAGTACTGTTTTTGACAAAAATATGTATTAAAAATGTGAAACATACATTTCAGGGGAAACATGTCGATTCCAAATATGTACCCAGTTTGTAGATATTTTGTAGATAAGTTGTAGATTATTTGTATTCTGATTGTAGATGCTTTATTTTCTGTTTTCACAAATAAAAACGACTAAAACTTCTACAAATCTTCTGAAAAAACACAATTATGTCGAAAATTCCAATTAAACTACAATTGAATGTGAATTGGGATATTAAAATTCAATATACCCAGTTTGTAGATATTTTGTAGATGAATTGTAGATTATTTGTATTCTGATTGTAGATGCATTATTTTCTGTTTTCACAAATCCAAAACGACTAAAACTTCTATAGAATGTAAAAATTCCATAAAAATAATGTTCTCTAGCATATAATTCGGATCTGGATCTGAATTTGCCTCTCCAAACCCTCTCAATAAATAGGAAACAATTTCGGAATTTCTTTCATATACAGTTTTATTTTTATTGTCTGGCTCTTTGATTAGGAGATTGATAGATTACGTAAATAAATTGCACAAAGTAAATTTGGTAGGAATATAAATATTGGCCTATTGGAAAGATTAAGTATTAACAAAATGGCAAAATCATGAAAAAAAAAACTAAGAACATATTTATGCATGATTTAAATGGATAATTCTACGTATGGCAAGTGAATTATACTTACTATAAAAGGAAGTCACAAAACTATTTTTGTTGCATTAAAGTAATTAAACTTTAATTACTATAACAACAGATGAAGAAATTATTTTCTGCCATATTAAAATAACTGAATTATGTGCTAATTGCTCGTAATAAATTGGAAGTTGATGTAATAATCTTTTTAACGAGGCATATTCTCCGAATGGGGTCATTTAATATTAGTATTTTATTGAATTTGGAAATTAATGCGAAGAACCAAAAAAATATTACTATTAATTTTTTTTCTTTATCTTGAAGCAATTATTACAATACAATTTCTACTATTGGAATAACCAACTTTATATTAAGTAAAATATAATACAAAAGTTGACATATATATGCAGATTTTTCATTGGGCAAAGAATCATTTTTAGCATGCGGCCGAAACTCTTTACATCTGATAGCCGCAAAAATATATAAAATATTGTATAATTTTTATATATAACATACAAAATGGATATATATACAAAGATATATATACATTAATTTCAGCTATTTATTGTAAAGTGGCTATACAATATTTTTTTTTATATATAATTAAAGGCGACCAAAAAATATTTGAGTCTTTTTCACATGCAATTATTTCCCCAGTTCAGATTTTCCTTCAATTTAATTCGAGAATGGACCAAATAGTTCCACACAAGATGAAAATAAATGTGTGTCATCGCTAGGCTTATTTTTAGTTGTGGGTCATAAATGTAAAAATAGCACGGTATAGCCAGTTTTCGGACTAGTCATTCAAAAATAGCCAGCGTTTACGAAGTCAATAAAAAATAGCCACTATTTTGCTGCAACAGAGACCGGTCCAGCATAATATACTGGAGTTCGGTGCACCTGTGTATGAACTCCAGCATATTATGCTGGACCGGTATACTTTGCTGACTCCAGTATAATATACTGGAGACTGGAGCACCGGTGCTCCAAACTCCAGTATATTATACTGGACAATTATACTTGCTGGAACTCCATCATATTATGCTGGAGTTGCAGCATACTTATCCTGGAACTCCAGTATAATATGCTGGAGTTCAAGCATACTTATGCTGAAACTCCAGTATAATAAACTAGTGTATTTTTCGGGTTTTGAACAGTATTTTCGCTAAGATTTATCTTTACATGAAAAGTGGCTAAATTTCGATTACTTTTGAAATTGAGCTATTTTTGAACGACCAGTTATAATTTTGGCTATTTTTGAATTTCTCCCAAAAATAATGTCCTTTGCACTTTTTGAAAGTTCTAAATCTGATGAATTTTTCATCAAAGTAGGTCAGAATCAAGGTCAAATAAAGACCTATATTAAATTTTATATACTGATGGGGTAGGTATATCAATGTCAAAACAAAAGCATCCCGAGATTCTACGTAAATGCGGGATGCTTTGTATATCGGGCTACTCTTTATATTAGTAAAGATAGCACGGGCTCGCCAGTTTTTGGACTGGCAATCGAAAAATAGCTAGTGTTTACAAATTCATTAAAAAAATAGCCACTGCTTTGCTGAAACACATAAAGTTCCAGCACAATATGCGGGATTATGGAGCTCTTGCGTATAATCTTCTAGCATATTATGTTGGAATTCCAGCACACGGAAAGTTCCAGCATAATATATTGGATTATGGAGTTCCTACATATAAACTTCCCGTCTATTGTATTGGAACTCCAGCACATTATGAAATTTCATCGCATTATGCTGGAAGCTCATACGTACAAAATTCAAACTCCAGCATATTGTGCTGGAATATTTTTGAATTTTTAAGGGTATTTTTGTTCAGATTTTATCTTTACATGAAAAAATAGCTAAATTTCAGTTAGTTTTAAAATTGTAAATCTGGCTATTTTTTTTATTTTTTCCCTTTACATTGATGGTGTAGGTATCAAATCATTATTTATACAATCAAATTTGTGATCAAGTTAATTATAAGTAGATTCTTATGATAAACGATATAATTGAAAAATGGGTAAAAATGATATATATATTAAAGTAATAAACTACATTAACAACATAAAAAATCTTTACAGGCGATCAACGTATATACCTTGAATCCTATATAATTACCAATTACCTTGGCAATGTGCAGTAAATCATATGCTTCCAAAGAAAATAACTGTACAATATTAGGGACCCCAAGCACATGGGTACTGTAAATATTCAAGAAACACGACATGATATATGAACTTAAGGTTAGATGAGAATAATAAAACCACGTTACAAAAATCAAAATGAAATGACATATTTATCTTTTTTTTTAATCATTTGATGTCCGATACTCATTTTCCTGATTAATCTAAATTTCCGTCGGGTAAGTCTGCTAAGGAGGTAAACGCCAAGTGCTTCCACCGCTTACTAAGAAATTATTCACTTCCAAAACTTAAACTCGAGATATCTGATCAAGACCGAAGAAATCTCAATCATCCCACGGATTATGGTGGTTACTAGTTGTGAAAGTCAAATGCTCTTATTTTATAGAGTTTATTACAAAGCTTGAAGATCAGTATCTTACTTGTTTAGATATAGACTAGGTTGGTTGCTACCACGATCTTGTTTTATAATTGCATCAAGAATTTAATCTACACTGAGTTAGTAGCTACCACGTTCTGGTTTTATAATTGCATCAAGAATTTGTGAGGAGATTAGGCATAGTTGGCTTCCATTTCAACAAATGAAACTTATAAATCGCGGTCGGTATACGCGATTTATTGCATGTATAATAACGTCAATCTATTCTTTTTGTCATGCTTTATCCTTGCATGATGGGACACTAGCTGTGTCTCATACAACTTACAATAGTTGTAAGATTGAGGTCCACAAATTTGTGAGATAAAAAAGTTGGGTCCACAAAATTGTGAGATAAAAAAGAGTCTCACACAACTAATATCAGTTTTCAGTTGCGTGAGGCACACAATAAAACTTCTCCATAAAATCCAAGACATCTCTTGTTAATATCTGGACAACTTTAGACTACAACCTTATCTAGATACCTCCTGTAATGTCCAAAGTTGTTACAAAAGCCAGATCAGTACTGAATCAGCTGACATGATAAAGATGAACTCCCAAAAATATCTCTAATTCTCTGCTTCAGACTAGCAATCCAGCATCCAAGAAACCAAGCCACATGACATGATAATAAGAGAGCACTATATCTGATGCAAGGTGCTCTCCACACATTTCTTGTGGCAAATTGTAGCCTAAAATGAGAGGAACTAACAAGCAACAAGTCAATAACTACTATTACTACACCTCAATTTCAAGTAACTTGAGGCTTGCTATATGAATTCTCATTTACCATGTCACTTCATTTAAGCTCATCTCATACCAATATTATACAAATCAACAAACAACAACAACTCAATAAAATTTTGCAAGTGGGGTCATACAAATCAACAATAGAAATAAAAAGTACTAGAAATTCTCTATACTTTCTACCGGAGAAACTAACAAAGAAAAATTACTGAACCTAATCCTAAACATATATATATATATCCTCAGAGCAATACATGCAATGATCCAGAAAAAAAAAATAGTGCAGAGTTTTATCCCGTGTTGCACTTTTATTACTAGACCAAAGCCCGAGGCAAGGTGCTCTCCACACACTTTTAGTGGCAAATTGAAGTGCAAAGTGAGGAGGAACTAATAAAGTACAGATACTGAAGCTAGTCCTAGATATTCTAAATGCATAAATCTTGGAGCAGTTCTTGCAACCATCTGGAGGAAATAATAAAGTACAGATATTGAAGCGAGTCCTAGATATTCTAAACAAAAAAAAAAAAAAAAAAAAAAAAGGCAGCCCGATCCATTAAGCTCCCGCTATGCGCGGGGTCCAGGGAAGGGCTTGTACGCAACTTTATCCTACATTTCTGCAAGAGGCTTCCACGGCTCGAACCCGTTACCTCTTGTACCTAGATATTCTAAATACATAAATTTTGAAGCAGTTCTTGCAACCATCAAGAATGAAATGAAGTGCAAATTCTGATGCCACCACAAGAAAATTTGGCACAACACACACTTCTGTAGTTTCTCTAATTGCATGCTCCCTTTTAAATTCATCACACAGTCTCTTTACACTTGGATTATATTTTCAGAAAGATCAGTCCAGGCCACCTCGATCAAGCATGTCTACCAAAGTCATCCTTCTTGGGAACCTTGGCGGCAACCTTAAAAACATTGCATCCTCAATCTGAATAGGCAGATGGGTGGCGACAATGACAATACCACCCTTTTTTCTGTGCTCTGCAATAATGTACTCGAGCAATTTCACACCTTCATCATCCAATGCTACCGAAGGTTCATCAAGCAACCAAATAGGCCGATCAATTGCCAACAATCTGGCCAGTTGTACCCTTTTCCTTTGACCCATAGAAAGCATTCGTGCTTTATCGTTTACTAATCTTCCAAGCCCCATAAGCTGCAAAGCTGGCAGAGATCTTCCTTGCTTGCCTTCAAGAACTTCGAACCATTGAACATTATCAAGGACTGTGAACTTCTCTTTGATAGCGTCCTTAAGAGAGAGCCAGTTGAGCTGAAGTTTGTACTGTTGAAAAACACCTGAATCAGTGATATCATGACCATTCCAGAGTATCTCACCAGCTGATGGTTTCGAGAAACCAGCTAACATGCGCAAGAATGTCGATTTACCAGAGCCATTAGTGCCCGTTAGTACAAGTGCACCACCATCATGGAGGGAAACATTTACATTGCGCAGTATTTGTTGAGCATTTCTCATGCAAGACACATTGTTCAGCAGAAGTCGAGGAAGGGGAGGTCTACGCAAAGACATTGTCAAGTGAATGACGGACAACGATCAGTACTGGATATAAAACTTCCTTGGTTGAGTATCCACAGAGAATAAAAAGAATCAAAAGGTTGCTGAAGCTCTTTCGAATCTTACAGGAGCTCAGAAGAAATTGCGAAACAAATTCTGTAATTCTGAAAATTAAAAGCAAAAGTAGGAACTTCATAAGTTTCAGCAACTCTGGACATGTAACCAGTCAGTTCAAAACAGAAAGCAGATTATGCTAAATCAAAGTTCACTTGTTAATTATGAGCATTTAGCTACGCAGGCAAATATAAATTAGTATAGTGCATGAACTCCACTAATTAATAGAATTCTCATCGAACAGACATCATCTGGAACATCAAATCAGACAAGAAAGCAGCAGAATCAAATCAACTAATGTGCTTTACCACAGTCTGAGGAAACAAAACAGAAAAGAGAAAATGAAGATGGAAGAGGATTTCTCATTTTTTGCCATTTGTAACACTCTTGGATGCTACTAAGTCACTGAATTTGCACTTGCTAAATTAATTTCCCTCATATGGAATTTCTTGTCATAGAAGCACATTTAGAGAAACCGAAAAAGATTTGCTCCACATCCTCCTCATAGCTCCCCATCCCTCTAAACAACCAAAATCATATAAAAAGTTATTTCATTAGCAAAGGCAATCCACATTGTTCTAATTTTCTAGTTTTCCACTTTAATCAGAATGACTATCAAGAACTGCTATCCTTTCTTAGCTGTCGCTAAGACGCTAAGCACTACGCATCACTATAATCAAGGTAAAGAATAAAAGGCATCTAATCATATTTTTCTCATCAGATTACAAGCAAAGAGGTGGAGCAGTCCTGCAGATCCCACACAATGTAAAACAACAGTAACCAATTTGTAGCTTAACAAACATACACACTAACATGGCTTCTCAAGAAAAGCTATAAGTTGAACAGTACGCAATTCTTATAAGCAAATTAAATTCCAAAAGAATTCATTCTTAGAAGCATTGGATGAATGATTTCCAGAGAAAAGAAAGAACAAAAAATGGAGCGATCATACTACCCATACCAAGCTAAGTTCACCTTGCTGTTTGATTCTTTCCGGAAGATAACCTTGAAACTAAGAGATCTTAAGAAACCTAACAATTCACTACATCTTTAATTTTTGTTCCTTCTAATTGTCCCCCTTACTTTAAGTTTCCTAATCAGTAGGGACGTGTTCTCCTAGGCACCACTAACAGAGCTAGTTTGAAGAAAGGGGATTCAATTGCATTCGCCGAAAAAAAATATTATGAAAATAGGGTAAAAAATTAGTTCTTTTTGTTAATATAAGTTGTTGAATCCCTTGACATGCGGGAAAATCCTAGTAAAGTAGCAAAGTGTTCAAAATTGCTTTTGATCAAAGGTTAATATCCGAGGTGTGACATTTTTGAATCCCCTTTTTATAAAATCCTGATTCAAATAGTCGATCTCAACTAATTTGACATTAAAGACAAACTCAATTGATTGATCTCAATTCTCCTAATCACTTCCTAGGTAATTCACATGATAATTATTAGAAAATAAAAACTAAAAGCAAAACCTAGAATATTTAGGCATACATTTCCATGACAATCATTCAGCACAATTCTAACTTACACTTCATTTCCAGTAGCTCCAACTTTTTGGCTAATACTCACAGCTTCAGCATTTCATAAAACAAGTTATGACCTTTCTAAATAAAATAGAAAAAAAAAGATAGAAATGGAGAGAAGACAATCATAGTATATTTCTAACAGCAAGAAATGGACTCACCGACGTCCGCAGTCATCCGCCGCCCGCCGTCTTCCGCCGCTTCGCCGTCACTCGAGCAACAAGCTGGAGGAGATTTTGGTCTACTTGATTTGGGCTGAGATGTTGAGATTTAGAATAACGGATTATTATGGGCTGAGCCCAAATTAAAACTTTATGGGCTTTTAACACAATTGATCCTAGTTGGGAAATCTACGCGGTATACCCATAGAAAACACAAGTTAACTTCATATACATTTAAAATATTTATTTTACATTATATACTTATTTTATAAAATTTTATTTACTTTTTAAATCATTAATATCATTATATACCATTAAACAAATCCCATATTTTAAGGAACTAAATTATCTCTCGCTCCCTTAACGTTTTAAAGAATTGGGATTATACTTACCTTCTGACCAAAAAGTTCATACCCCAATAATTTCTCTAAGTCCTTCATCGTTTTTTCTTCTTTTCCATCTAAATCAAAAGAAAATAAAAAATAAGGTGAAAATATTTTAACTTGGGATACAATATCTAAACTAAAATAAAATACTGGAACATACTATTCAAACCAATACACCACAATATCCTAATAAAAAATATAATGTTCGAATCAAACATACTATAATATTCTAATTTGGAATTCAATGTTCAAATCAAACATACCACAATATTCTAATTTGGAATACAATATTTAAATCAAACATACCGCAATATAGTATTCAAATCAAACATACCACAATATTCTAATTTGGAATACAATATTTAAATCAAACATACCGCAATATAGTATTCAAATCAAACATACACAAGATTCTAATTTAAAATACAATATTCAAACCAAGTATACCAAATTACAATAGTTTAATGAAGTTAAATTGGATTATAATTTTTGTTTTTAATACTTGTAATTTCTGTAACTGATTTTGCTCTTTAAATTTTTTGCTGAATATGTTTCATGTCGAACATTTGGGAAATATAATGCTTGCTGCTGTTCTCGTGTGAACATATATGACATTGAAGGAGTTAAAATCTTTAAAAATGGATGCTTCAACAAGACGGAAACACCTACAATCAATAAAGAATCTAAGAATGTAGCGGGTCAAATTAATTGAGTTGCACGCAAGTTAGGCCCGAACCGGACATTATGATTATAATAATAATAAAAAATCTAAGGATATAGTGACTTAGTCAAGTATTAGTAGTACTTTGATTATTCCTATCTCTAAGCTTAATAACTACTCCCTCTATTAGGACTGAAGTTAATAGTCAAAGCAAAATGTTCACTGTGACTTGTAGTGTTGAGGGACTATTTCAAGTGGCAAAGGTTAGAGGGATTTGCGACTTAGGTCACAGGTTTGAACCCTATGCCAATTGCCATACAAACTAAGCTTGATATTTAAGTGGAGAAGGATAGAGTTGATGGACCCGCGAGTTTCAAAGGCTGCAATTGGTCCTATAAGAGTGGCCCCAGACAGATTTTTCGGTCATAAAAAATATTTAACTTGTTATAGACATTCATTATAGCATTTGTCTGTTGTATGGTTAAAATCATTTGTTCATCTTTAGCTCAGGTAGTCCCAATTTCTAGTGCTTTTTCTCCTTTCAATGGTTCCATTATGTGTGCGGAAACGAGCTTCTTGATTCAATGAATTTATCAAGATAAATATAGTGTTTGGACCAAAACTACTGAGGTTACCCATATTCAGAGCGGACCTATGTTAGGAGTAGAGGGGTCACCGAACCCCATTAACCTCGGCAAAAATTCTCGACATATATGTGTATATAAGTTAAATACAGTCATATATTTTGCTTGGAACTCTTAATGGGGCCATTGCTTGAGCAGTCCGCTCATGTGCCCCGCAACCATCAAATTATGGATCCGTCTTTGCCCATATTCTGCATTCTAGCTCCGCCCATGCACCGGTCCAATGACTTTTTGTTGAAACACAAAACAAAAATATGGAACATTAACAAAAATGAAGGAGAGGACTAATTAGAATTCAAATCAGAAATGTCAGCTATGCAGCAAGTAATGAAGTAAGATATTAGCAGAATTGCTATATGATCTCTGCTATTCTCTGAAAGCTTTTCTATAAAAATACATTAGAAGCACACAAACTTTGCTCGCGCAAAACTTTGCTCATAGAATTTATCCATTTCTAGGCACAGTTAAAAGGGCAGCCGATGCACTAAGCTCCCGCTATGCGCGGGGTCCGAGGAAGGGCAGAACCACAAGGATCTATTGTACGCAATCTTACCCTGCATTTCTGCAAGAGGCTGTTTCCACGGCTCGAACTCGCGACCTCCTGGTCACATGGCAACAACTTTATCAGTTACGCCAAGGCTCCCCTTCATTTTCAAGTACAAATGAAAGAAAATAATGAACGGGTGGGTTCTACGGGGATGCCGTTAAGACGACGCAGTCTCAAAATCGAAGACCATACTTTCATCAAATATAGGAATCCCCTGATTTTTCGAGTTTCAATCAAAGATGCAAGCAACCCAGTAACTAAGACGAGCTATGGATTTGGTGGCCAGTTCAGAACCCATAAACTTCAAATCCTAGCTCTGCCTCTGGGTACCTGTTTATGTCATGCTGGAATTTTACGTATGACAAGTGTTAGTATAAGAGAATACGGCACTTGCTGCAAAATAAGTCTCTCTAACAGTTGAAAAAGGCTTCACCAACAATAAGTAGGTAAAAAAACAAAAACAAAAAGCAGAACAAAATAGTACTGTAAAGTATAAATGAACTAATAAAAGTTTCAAGAGTGACCATTATATTATAGTCCCTTGTTCTTCCCTCGACCACATCTATGCTACAAAGGTATAAGTAATCAAAAATACAAGAGGGAATAGAACCTTAAGACATCTATTTCATTGTAATTACTGCCTATGTTGCTCAAACTCTCCGAAAATGTCGTCATGTGATGACTCCTCCAAAAGTAGAACATTTTTGGGGATACGACATAGGTGCTACAACATTTTGAAAAGTCCACGCAACATAGATTACTACGACCTATTAGTTAAAGTGAAGAACTTCTGCAGGATTGTTTCTAAGGTGCTTTCAAATAGACTAATTGAATGAAAGTGGCATAATTCCTAGGACACATTCATTGGATACTAGATACAGCTTTGGTGGTAGACCCTAAAAGGAGGGGGAAGCCAGGTGATTTTGCAGCAAATTAGAGCTTGAGAAGGGCAATGATCATGTGAACAATGTTAAAGGCGAAAAGCTTTAAATAGCGCTCTATAGGTCTATTGGAGCTTTAAGTGCAAAAAGCAGTTAAAGTGTGGACTTCAGTTGGAAAAAATGCACAATGAGGAAAAATAAAAATATATTCGTAATGCAAGAAAAAAATAACAAATTCATTCATAATGTTTTCCTTAGTAATTATTATATCTCCTTCTGATTATATTTATTATTTAATACCACTCGATTTGACATAGAAGGCATGGCCTATAAGGTGTGCGCCTTAGTGTCCTACCTACACTGAAGCACAACTTAAGCGAGGTGAAACGCCCTCCTTGAGCTTTTTTGAGCTTTAGAGTTTAAGCGCGCCTTACATGAGCCTCGAGTGCAAATTTGGGGCCGAGTCGACAGAAGCGGGAGTGGAAGTGAGGCTTGACTCTCAAGTCATTCCTACGAGGAGTAGTTTCAAGTACCTTGGGTCTGTTATTAAGAGGATCGGGGAGATCGATGAGGATGTCACACACCGTATAAGGGTGGGGTGGATGAAGTGGAGATTAGCATCGGGAGTCTTGTGTGACAAGAAAGTGCCACTGTTACTAAGAGGTACGTTTTATAGAGCAATGGTTAGGCCTGCCATGTTGCATGGGAGCGAGTGTTGGCCGGTTAAGAACTCACACATCCAGAAGATGAAAGTAGCAGAGATGAGGATGTTGAGGTGGATGTGCGGGCATACAAGGATGGATAAGATTAGGAATGAAGATATTCAAGAGAAGGTGGGCGTGACCCCTATGGAGGACAAGATGCGGGAAGCAAGACTGAGATGGTTCGGGCACATTCAGAGGAGGAGCACTGATGTACCGGTGAGGAGGTGTGAACGACTGGCTGTGGTGGGCACGAGGAGAGGTAGAGGGATACCTAAGAAGTATTGGGGAGAGGTGATTAGACAGGACATGACGCGACTTAGGATTACTGAGGACATGACCCTTGATAGGGAATTGTGGAGGTCGAGCATTAAGGTTGTAGGTTAGGGGAAGTTGTGAATATTTCTGCAGCGCACTAGAGTGAGACTAGCCAGTTAGGAGTTAGTCTTAGGATGCTACTGGTCAGCTACTGATGCATGGCTTTATCGGCGGGATGTTATTATACCTTCCACCTTTCATCTTTTTGGTATTTCTATATTTCCTACATTTCTTATATTACTGTTATTTTGTAGTTTATGTTATTTTATGTTATTTTATTATGAGTCAATTGATCGTACTAATATATCGTCTCCTGTTACTTTCTTGAGCCGAGGGTCTCCTGGAAACAACCTCTCTGCTCCTCGGGGTAGGGGTAAGGTCTGCGTATATATTACCCTCCCCAGACCCCACTTGTGGGATTATACTGGGTCGTTGTTGTTGTTGTTACATGAGCCTTTGACAACACTGCATGTGAATCAGATTTTTTTTAAAAAAATAATCTGTCATGCTAAAATTCGGATTTGGAACGATAACAAAAACCAATACAAGTCATGCAGTTATATCCTGTTACAATTGCCAATTTTCTGAAACTAAAACTATGATACTGATTACTAGGTTTTACTGAAGCAGCTTAGCTTCCTGCCTATATTCAATGCTTCTCCTGCTTCAAGTTCTGGATGTCATTATCACAAGTGATGGCGAGCTACGGTGAAGGAACGCGATAAACTGAAGCTCAGGATTGAAACATGAGATTTTCGTTAATTTGGCCAGACGAAGATTCTTAAGGAGAAGAACTGTGCAATCCAAGAGTTTTAGATAACCAGAGACTTGTTCCTGGTTCAGCTTGA